AATATGAAGTGTGAAGGCACGCATGCGGATCTGGTTCTTTGTCACGATTGTGGCCAACATGGCGAACCCTACTGGCTGGTCAGCTTGCTTGAAGGTTGAACTTGTTCTTGCATGTTTGATGCTGACACGTTATTATAGAAGACATTTTAGGTATCCCCCCGCCCAACAACAGGCAAAAGTGCTTTTCTAGTAATCGGACCAGCCAAACGTTTGGCCTTGCTGGGGAGCTCCATGTAGATGCGCCCTACTGCTTGGCCGCGACTCTTTTGCGTCTACCACTGCCGCTGCCCCCTCCTCAACCATTATGCTTAGCGTCGCGTGGGCTTGCGCGACGTAGCGCAGCCAGCGCACAGCTTACGTAGATCAGCCGCAGTCACTCATATCAATTTCAAAACCCGATCGGTATGATTTACATCAGCCTCGCCAAGGCGAGGGCCATATTCACTGCATTGCGGCTTTCACGCGCTTTTCGGTTTTGACAGTGAAAGCTACACACTTGGCTTCTGGAGCAAGCGTTGCAGGCAGCTGACAGTCGGCATGGGCCGTGGCCCTGCCCGAGGCACAGCGGCTGCAAAACAAAACGCTGCAGTGGAATCGAAGTCAGACGGCAAAATTACCCGCTTCCAGAGCGCCTTGGAATTGCCATGCAAGCCTCGTGTTCTGCGAAATTTGCAAAACGAAGCCCACGTGCAATCCGCGGGCAACCCGCGGGCGCCGCAGACTCACAGTTCGAAAGAATTCCGAGCTGGCATGCGCTGAGTGCCAGAAAGCCCAGCCGGAAGCGCAAAATCAAGCAGCTTTTTTCCTGATTTTCTTGCCTCGGTCCCACTGGCCTTGCGGCCTAGGGCCGGCCAGCAGCTCAGAGAAAATTGGGAAGTTCGAAAGCATCGAATAAGGGGGTCCCCCTTCTCAAGGTCACTCCCAAACGGTCTTGTTTTGGCCCCTTTTCGATCGTGTTCCAAATTGCGCTTCCAGCAAGTGGTCACTAAAAACAAGTGGTCAGGGGCCTTGTGTCAGTCGTTCTGAAATCCAAAAAAAACCACCCTCAGGCGCTTACCGCATACTCGAAGTGGTCAACGGCCGCAAGAGATGGGCATCTCTTGCACAGTGAAGGTTGAAGGCGGTCTTCAATCGCTAACATGCACGGCTGCGGACAGGGACGGAGTGTTTTATGCATGGAGTGGCAAGGAGTTTAGGGGCGAGATCTTCGAAAGGAGAGTTTTGGCTGAGAATTCTGCCGCCAGCCTTTTCATCAACGATCCGGATGTTCGGGCGACTGCTGCTGATGTTGAGCCATCCAACACCATGATTCGGCAGCAAGAGAAGCGGTTGAATTGGATGCGGAGGGACAATCTCATGCGCTTGGGCTTTGGCAAATCCAACGGGACCAACTGTTGAAACAAACACGATTTATTGATATTGAGGAGTATCAATGATACCAAATTCGATCGCGAGGGAAAAGAGATGAAAAAAGAGATGCCAATTGCAGGAACTGGGCGCCGTGCGGTCCAGCTGTTCACACCTGGATGTTCGTTTTGGATTCTGGATCGTAATTCTCAACATTTTGTCCCTGGGTCGCACATGTCATTGTTGGGCTGGCCACCTTTCGTTCACCCTCACAGGCAACCCTTGAGAAGGCGGAGGCTTGCAACGTGCCTGAGCAGGCTTGACAAGGGGATGGGGAAGGCGGTGACAAGTCGAGGCCAGGAATACGATGATGGGACCAATCAAGGCAACAAGCCTATCCGCAATAGGTCCAGTATAATTTGTTTGCATCTCGGGTTGTGCTTGTGGCATGTGAGTCAGGCAGTCAGGGCATGCTTTGTGCTTCGTCCAGGCTGTGTTTGGACCAGCTTTTTTTTTCCCAATTTAACCCTGCAACTACATTACTTGCATTGGCGAGTGAGCACCTATCACTGTTTTTGAGCATTGCTCCTGCCTTTGTTAACTTCTTAAAGAAAGGGTCAAAGGGAGCCTAGACTCTACTTCAGCTTCTTGTAGGCGCTGAGCTTCCCACAATGCCTGATTTAATCAGGGTTTGGGTGGGGGCTGAGTTGCATGAACAGATGTTTACCTGGGGACCCTCCTCCTCCTCCTCCTCCTCCTCCTCCTCCTCCTCCTCCTCCTCCTCCTCCTCCTCCTCCTCCTCCTCCTCCTCCTCCTCCCCCCCTTTCGACCCCCCCCTTTCGACCCCCTCGTCGCAGCAGCCGGGTCCACGTTTTCTGATTGACTTTTTGGGGGCTAGCTTTCGTTCACCGCCTCTCAAATCTGACACCTGGTCGCAGGCCATTGAGAAGAAGGCGTTCCACGAGGCTTGACGGGGGACTGCGCCAAAGGTCAGACTCCATTATACGGGGGACTTATAGGGCAACTCCCTTCTTATTTTTTTTGTTCTGTATTTCGCCGCAGATTGTCCATGAAGCAGTTGAAGGCCAGCAACTCCTTGCAGCAGGCCAAGGCAGCGCTGGAAGCCGAGCTGGAGCAGTCCAAGGCTGCGTTCAGTCGTTGAACACGGCAGTCTTTGCAGTTGGTCACTGGTGAAGCGACACTTACTAAATTGTCCTGCGGGTTTGTTGCTAAGAGAACATTGTTATGTGACGACTTCTTGTCCAACCAATCACTTGTTATTTGCACGTGAAACTACATGGAATGCCAAAAGTTGTACGCTGTGAGAGAGGGAGAGGGAGAGATTGGGAGAGAGAGACTTGCAGGCAGCGGATGTTTCGAAGCGGCCTCAGCTACGAGCTTCGCTGTGACTTAGCTATTTGGGGTGTGACTCACCCCTTTTGAATCCTTGAAGGATGGTCAACCCCACGGCTAAGGAGGAACGCCCAGGGCTGTCAATCAACGTTGGCTAGGCAGTTTTTTTGGCCAGAATCGTCGACCGGAAACAGTGAACATAGGACTCTAGCAAAGACGTGCAGGGTTTCCTGGAACGGAGAAACTGAGGGTCTCAACTCAGCGTTGGATCACCGCCATGGTCAAATCACTCTTTGCTCTTGAGAGTGGTAAGGACCTTCATGAAGTTACACACCCCTTGGCACGGCATTTGGACGGCCATGATAAGGATTCCGGTTTGCAGGAACCGTGAAAAATCAAAAAAAAAAAAAACGCAAATATCAACACAATAAATCGGAGTTGCCAAAGGGAGACGTTGGTTTGGCTCATGACTCGTATCATGGCGCCCCAGGTCCCCCAATAAGAAAAACATGTGTCATCTCAAAGGGGGAATGGAAGAAATGCACATGGAATTTTAGTTGTAGTTTTTTGTTTCCCCGTTCTTTTGTTGGATGCTTTTGGCTTCTTGGCTTCTTGGCCTTTTTGGCTTCTTGGCTTCTTGGCTTTTAGGCTTCTTGGCTTTTTGGCTTCTCGGCTTCTGGGCTTTTCGGCTTCTTGTTGGTTTATGCGGCTTTTGGTGGCTTTTTGTTTGGCTTTTCGCATCCTCTGCATTCCCAGTTCCTCTTCGGCAGGTGGCGGTTTGGCTTTTGCGTTTATGCGGCTTTTGGCGGCTTTGGCTTTTCGCATCCTCTGCTTTCACAGTTCCTCTCTAGGCTTTTTGGCTTTTGCACCCTTTCATTGGTTTTGGATTTGGCTTCCCGCATCATCAGCATCACCAGTTCCACCCTATTTGAATCAACACTTCTTCAAACATCATTGGGGGCCCCCCCCCCAACCCCCCCGCTACTTTTTTGATGTTTTGCAGATATTGAATTGCACCCCTATTGGAATCATCACTTTTTCGAGCGTCCAATTTAGCGAGAAAATGCTGCATAATACGATATTTTAAGTCATCTGTGTAATCCATGTATGTCTGTATGTATGCACGTCTTCGAACATCATAGGGGAAGCAATCCCCGCCAACCCTCCCGCTGCCTTTTAAATTCTATCGCACCCTTTCTTGAATCATTGCACCCCTACTTGAATCATCACTTCTTCCGACATCATGGGGGGGGGCTGTCGCCCCCCCCAACCCCTTTGCTACGTTTTAGATTTTCTACAGAGATTTAACTGCATCCCTAGTTGAATCATCAATTCTTCGATCATCATGGGGGGGCTGCCGCCCCCCGCAACCCCCCCTACTTTTTAGACTTTTTGCAGAGATTGAATTGCACCCGCTGACTTTTTACAGGGACTGAAATGTCCTCCTAATTGAATCATCATTTTTTGACCCCGTCAACCCGCCAGCTACTTTTTCGATTTTGTTACCCACGACTTGTTGGTGATGCTAAGGATGTTGGTCGGACATGCGGGGGATGTTGAACACGATGCTGGGAATGTTGACGGGCTAGTGTAAAATGCGTCAATTTCGCAAGAACATGCTGTAAAATACAACATTTTACTGGCCCGGACGAAAAACGAAAAAAGTCCAAAAAAAAGTCCGAAAAGAATCCCAAAATAAATCTGCACCCATTTTAGTTGGAGTTGTGGGGGAGAAGGCCTCCATCTTCCAATTCGATTTGGGATCAAGATCTAGCCGGAAGTGGGTGAGACCTAGGCGCGCAAAAGAGCTGGAAGAAGAGAACGCTCAGCTGCGGGAGCAGCTGAGAGTTCTGGAACAGCGTGCCTCAGCCTAACGTTCTTTAGGGCTGTGGGTTTTTTGAGGGTACCCTTTTTTGGGTTTTCTAGAGATAAATTTTGCGCATTTGTTTCTCTGAGGTTCTGCTTTTCAAGCCTACTTAATCACCGAACAAATGCTGGGGCGGGGGGGGGGGGGTCAGGAAATTGTCTTGCTCGCGCTACGTAGCCCATGTTTTCTTCGCTTTTCCAAGAGCACCAAAAGGAATTCATGTGTGTTTTCTAGATCCCCTGTGCTTGGGAATGACTCGGGATTGGTCCTAACGTTGAAGGTTTGGGCGATTCGCCCAAAATAGCCGCTAGTCGCCACTAATCATTGTTGGGCTTGCCATGGGTCTGCACCAGATGAAGATGGTGAGCTCTGGGATAGCTCTGGGCTCATAGCTGGCCGGCATGTTGGCGTGAGAATAGCCAAGACCCTCGATGATGTCGTGTCTTCCTTCTGTTGAGGAGGTTACCTTTAGAATCAAGTACACAGGGATGCCCCTTCTTTCCCACTGGAGGTTTGTGAAAGTAAGTTTGATTGACACGGGCAAGTTGCAATCATGCCATTGACTTTTCATGCAAACGATCAAGTCTGCAGAATAACATTTGGACCCCCTCCCCCGCAAGAATCGGCTCATGTTTGAAGGACGCAAGTTTCTGGAGGATCAGATCCTGCACGGGAGACTCTCCCTGACTCGGGTTTTTGGTGCCCGCAAATTCAGAGGCCTCCACGCAGGAAGCATCTGGCTTTCGTGTACCCGGTTGGGCTGAGAGATGTTCAGGGCTTCCCCTCGTTCCCTTCTTTGTTTTTGTTGGTGGGCTTTTGACATGGTCAGCTCAAGAAGGCAACTAGCACCATTCCGATTTCCCAAAGGACGCGTGCGAATGCGAAACCCGACGAAGCAAAGACAATGTTTGGAGGTTCCCCGATTTTGAGACACATGCAGAATGGGGCACTGAGGCCTGGCCGAGGCGGAGGCTCGTCTCAAGGCGCGCTTGGAACATGGATGCAGCAACCCGCTTTCCCCCGTTTTTTTTTTCTTCCACTGAACATGGTCAACCCTTTCAAGGCTTCAAAGTGTTTTCTATCACGTCGGCGCTGGTATGAGTGAGGCACCGGCCAGCCGGCCAGTCAAGTCATTTCCAAGACAAGCCCTTTCTTACCCCCAGCAATTCGGAGGGGTACTCAAAAGAGCTGTCAACATTTGCCTGATGTCCAAGGGTGCGGCGTTTTGTTGATCGGCGGTCCTTTCATAGCCAGACTTATGCACCGTTTTTTGACGGCATTTTTGGAACTCTGTTTCGACTTCACAGAAGATGCCGTTTGGAGGCATGCCAAACCCGCCCAACAGGCGGCAAAAGGGCCACCACCATCAATAGATTCTTAGATCAGTCTACGTCAACCACGGGATTCCGTTCTTCTGGAAGTCGACCAAATGCCCAGTGAAGGCATGGATTTCGCCTGTTTCTTAGGCTGAGTCGGTTGTTCTTTCAGGCTTTAACCCTTGAAGTGGTGAGTGCCCGTCGGATCCGGGAAGAGAAGTGAAGGGAACGAAGCGATCAAGAGCGTCTTAGAATAATTGTGAGGGATGGTTTCCCACCAAGCACCGGTTGGGGTGGTAATTTCAAGAATGCCACAATGGAAGCAGGAGCAATGCGTTTCAAGTGTCAGGGCGATGACATGAGGGAGCTAGACAGCACTCACTCGAGTGCCGTGGAGACTGAGGCGGGGGAGGCGCGGAGGGTGCGGATGCCGCAATCCGGCAGCTACCATCCCCACAGTGGCGACCTCCAAAAGACCAGCAATCAGGTTATAATATATACTCTTGGTGCTTCAAATCAGAGTTGGGTTCTTGTTCACCCTTTGACTATTTTTCTAACGACGGAGACACCTGTTTGTTGCTGAGGGTCGGAGAAGTTGCAAGGGACTGAGGGGGGGTCAGGGAAAGTGTTTAACCCTCCATGCTTTTGGCCTCGTCCCTTTCCCCACCTGGCTGAACAATAGGGTCACCCCGCTGGAAAATATGCCTAAGTAGTGCGTGCCGGAACGCGACGGTTTTGCTCACGTCCCAGAAGTTGGGACGATTATTCGTCATTCCGGGTTTTTGTTTTAACCCAGATCGCCCCTTTGCCTCAGTGTCCTGTCAGCCACCCAGCTCACGTTTCCAAGAAGTAGGGGAGACAGCAGCGGGGTGCGAACAGAAACAGCCTGCTGCAATGCGCATGTCTGGTCAGATAGCACAACTCCTTATTTCCGGCTTATGCATTGGCGTTATTTGCCCCAATCCGTGGCAAGGATGGCACGCATCCATGTTCCCCCGTGGTGGACGCCCCATTCGGCTTTCGGCCCATGACCTCTAAGTGGAGCTTCCTGATCATGCCAACCATTCCAATATCGGGCACCCAGAACGCTGCCACAGAATCAGTGACGCGGTTCCCCGGCTCAGCTCCCAACTCCTCGCCAGGTCGCAAAGCCCGACCAAGACAAGGTGGGGACGGATGAACCCGGCGAGCTTTTTGAACCATGTAGAAGTTACTCCCCGGATGTTTGCTAGGCAAGCGCTCATTGTGTGTGTGTGCGCTTTTTGTGCAAGAATGCCAGGGGTACCGTTTATAAAGCAAAAAAAACAGAGGCTTGTGCCCTTAGCGGAATCCTTCATTCTCAGATGGTGGTTGCTTCGATTGTTGTAGCGGTGCTCCGCTACGGATTGCGGATGAGGATTTGGGAATTCAGAAAATACACAGTAAGCCTGCGCAAGGGGTCCACCAAAAAAAGTGAAGTGCTCCTGGAAGGTTTGCTTAGCTCCAATGCATGAACAGTAGGTGGGGTGTTGTTGGTGGGCGCTTTGAAAGGGACTTGAAAATTGGGAGCAAGCCTTTCAGTCCCTTCCGGGGCCCTGGCAGGCGTCGGTTCCCTCGCGATTTGAGTTGATGCAGGCCAGGGCTCGAGGTGTTTTCTCGGGGGGGGGGGGGGGGCGCTGCTCTTTTCGCGGTAAATGGTGGGTCCCCTTGATTAAGGACTAGAATGGAAGCGGGAACCGATGGGAAGCTTATGTTAGAGCGCAGCCCAAAATCTGTTGCCCAAAAGGAGGCAGGGAGCGGTACTGGCCTCTTTTTGTCCAGATTGCCCAGCTAGGTGTTTCACGAACTACAGCTCACTTGCCCAAAGGGCCTGAAAAATATTAGTCCGTTGGAACCTTAACTCAACAAATCGACTAAAAGGGGCAAGCACAAGGTAAAACCTCGGCATATACAATCACGCAGTTCGAAACCAACCTTGCGAAGACCAAGTTTTCCCTTTTGGCCCACTAGCAGAGGTGCCAAGGCTTAGCTGTTATTTTTAGCTTTGGTGTCCAAGATGTCATCTGATGGAAAAGGCTTCATGGATGCCTATTCCAGTGCAGTCCGATCGATCGGCATCGCGGAAGAGCCAGCCAATTTATCGATCACCGCCATCGTGCGACGCAAAAGTCAGCTGGTTCAGGTATGAGGAACTTGTGGATGTTGGGACGACATTCACCACGATCGAAGCATCCAAAAGAGGCTGCGACTGCCAGACAGAGAAAAGATGACATGACAAAGAGAAAAGACGACGCGTTGACACTCACTTCTTCCATTGACTCGCGCTTGCTGCATCTCGCGGGGTGCCGTGCATGCTTCCGGTTCACGCGAAGCTGTGTTGTCGAAGGCTGCACAAGTTGGGTTATCTGGCCTTTATTTCCAACATCCCCAAACTATTCCTTCAACCTGGTCACACGCTTCATTCCAGTGAGTCGTGAGTCTTGGTCTTTGGGTTCTTCGTGGGTTACGTGAACCCTTTTGATTGCCTGGAAAATCCTTTTCACCCAAAACGGCCAAAGCTAATTTGCGAAACCTTTTGACGCTACATTTTTTTTCAGGTGTCCCTCGACCGACGCTTGCTGTCTCAGCAGCCAATTTCGCCACGAAAAACAAAAGAAACCACAGCAAATGATTTACTAGACATGTCTGAGATCCCTCGTATGAGCAAATTGCTCTGCGACCGTTGGGGGCTGAGACTCTTGCAGGCGCTGAAGGACCAGGAGCGCCGTCGCCGGCGGAGGAAGGAGGTCCGGAAAGCCTCCGCGGGCCGTGCGGTTTGGCAGGCAGGGCCTCTCGACTCGACCGCATGTCAGCACACCTTGAATCGGTCGTTCAGTATCATTGGTGGAGTTTCCTCTGGAGCAGGCCCTTGGTCACATACCGCCTTCGTTTCGTAATCTTTTACTCTCGCACAAGAGCGCGCGCATGCGCGCTCGCACGCCCTAGGCCCTAGGCCAGCTGCAACGCTGAGACAGTTTGCAACTGATAGAGCCAGATAGGATAGACAAGGGGGCCCCATCCTGTCACTAGTGGCTGGTATACGTGTGACTGCATTGTGCTTGCATGCTTGTGTGGTGGCTATCCGCAATGTGCGAGTGTGTTGTGTTTCTGTGTCGTGTTTGTGTGTGTGTGTGATGCATCCTCATATTTTGCCGGAGGCTATTGAATTTGTTGTGGTCACTCTGTGCTCTAAGAAAGTCGTGTTCTGTGCTGCGCAAGTTGCTCTGCGCAAGCGTTGTAAGAAAGCTGAGGCTTTAAAGAGAGAGCGCGCAAGCCACGAAGCAAACTTTCGAGCCCAGTTGCATACCAGAAAGGCAGTATGTCACCTTAGTTTTCTGACGTTAGTTGCGCAGAAGTTTGATCCGCGCAACGCAGAATCGTAAAACGTCGTCAGTTGTTTATCATCGACCGCGCCGATCCACGCAGAAGGCTCGCAAACCCGCCGCCTTCAATCTGAATGTGTTCTTGTTGAGCTTTACTTTCTTCTTTGACGCGCGAATGCGCTTGTCGAAGAAAACCTTGCGTGTGACTTCCTCAAGCAGTCTCTTGTGTCATCTTGGTTTGCAAACCTCTCGTGCATCATCCTCGCGTAGCTTGCTCATGTAACTCGGTTGGGCAACTAGGCGGGCTGCTGCCGGCGCCGCGGCCGGGGCCGGGGGTGGGAACTGCGACCCGCCCCCGGCCCCAATGGTCGAGCGCTTTGTGCAAGCGGCTGGGGCCTGAGAACTCATGAGTTGTGTATGGGTCAAAATTAAACCACCAGGAATTGGACCGCAGGTTTTGGTCCACGTGTTTATCTTGGGTTGCGTTTGGGGTATCCATTTTTGACCCACAGTCAGTTTGGTCCACGCTGCTTCTTGCTGCGTGTTCATTCATCGGAGCGAAGGCGCTGTTGGTCCTGACCTTTGTGCAGCTGGGCCTGGTGGCGGCCGCGGCTGTGGCGTCGCTTGGCGGGATTGCGCTCACGTCTGAGGATTTTCCCAGAATTTGTAAGGGCCTCCCACGGTCCAAGCTCATCTCTTGCCTGAGCAAACTACACAAGGCGAACAACAAATGACAACATGTTACAATTTGGGGAAGCAGTGGGTTCAGAGGATGCCGCTGGAAGTTGCCTCAGGTGTTTATGCCATTTCGTGAGGTCTGTTAATTGTAACTAGGGCACCGCCGTGTCAAGCAAAAAAGGGATGTGACCATTCAGACAGCTGTTTCCAGCCCCAAAAAAGCAATTTCTAATTGTTCAAGTAGGAGAAGAAGCAATTTGGAGCAAAGCTGATGCCTCGGTAACAGTTAAGAACTTTTGTTTGGGCATTCGCCCTGGCTCTGGCCTGCAAAATGTGTTTTGCTTGTTGGTTGCTAAAAATGACACCTGAGTCCTGGCAGGAGTGCCTGAGTGTGTGAGCAATGGATCGTTGCCACGTGGACACGCTGATTGTAATTGAGGCCGCTTTTATAGACGGTGTGTTTCCCAATTCCGGATCCTGGGGCTATATGGGGGTCCTCTATTCTGGAAAGCTTTTGCCCCACGCCGAAGCGGAACACCGGTCAACAAATGCGAGCCTTCTTTCTTGGGAAGCAGTTACCAGACCAAGGCCTTAGATCTAAAAATTCCAGTTTTGCAGGTGTCCGCCAAAAAGGCCAAGCAGCCACACAAAGGGGGTTGCCCCAGGAGCCTTGATCCTCTTCAACCTGACTGTTTTGGGTGCCCTCTTTAATATCAAGTTTCGAGAGGGTGACAATTTCCAGATCAAAGCCTTAGCCTGGTTCCCCTAAGTTCTTCCCAGCGCAAAGGTTACAGGTTTTAGACCTAGCTTTGCAACAAAATCCCCTGTAACAAAAATCAAGGCCAGGCCCCTGATCCTCTTTAGTCTGCCTGTTTTGGGAGTTCGCTTGAATGTCACGCAATATTGTGTTGTTTTGTTTGGGGGGGAGGGTGACATTTCCAAAGCCGCAGCCGTTTACTTTGAAGGGTGGTTCACCCAAGCCCTTCCCAGCTCAAAAGGCTAAAAGCCCTAAAGGCCTTAGATCGTGGCAATACTAAATTTAGTCTTTACTAAATTAAGTACTGGGAAGCCAAGATTAAGTCTGGGCAATAATCCACTAAGTACTGGGAATGTAAGAGGAATTCTTGGCAATACTAAGTTTAGTCTTGGCAATACACAATTAAGTAATGGGAATCTAAGATTAAGTCTTGGCAATACAAATGAAATACTGGGAATCTAAGATTTAGCTTTGGCAATCCTAATTTTACAGCCAATACTAAGTTAAATACTCGGGATCTAAGATTAGGTTGTGGCAGCACTTAATTTAGAACTGGCAGTCGAAGATTAAGTCTTGGCAATAGAAGCTTTACTCTTGGCTATGCTAAGTCAAGTAAAATGTCCAACCCAGGGCCCACAAATTTCCGACTACAGAGGGTCAACATGACTGTTGGCGTTGTTTGGTAGGGGGAGGGGACCGATTAAGGCAGGTTCCACTTTACATGAAACTGAAGTCACAGGAGAAGTGCAGGAATCCCATGCAGCCTTGAAGATGAGCTGTGCGTCGCAGCTTGTGCCAAAATCCAAAACCGGCGGTGCCCAAAAAGGCGTGTCACAACTTGCGTGTCAAAACAAATGCCAAATCAGAACAAAGACGTAAATAACCACAAAAACACAAGTTGACGATTGTGTCAAAACTTGTGTCACAACTTGTTTTAAAACTCCCGACGCGCAAGAAAACGCAACAAAGTCAAACAAGTCACCAAACAGGGCCGTGTCAACGCTTGTGTCAAAACTACGACTTGTTCAATATGGCCAAGGCTTTATAGAATGGGCTAGCGCCCAGGTGCCGCCGACCCTTCCTTTGGGCAGGGGCTGGCAATCATCCCATAGGCTATGGGTTAGTCGACTTGCCCTTTGAAATCAAGCGAATTTGATGGAAAGTGTTTCATGTAGATGGAAATCGTTTTCTCGCCCTCCTTCCGTTTGGCACTGCAGCTGCTGCAGTTTTGGTCGGAAATTGATCAGCGGCAGGCTTTGGCCCACAACAGGGACGAGCCGTCGCGAAAGGTGCCGAGGCTATCGGAAAGAACGACAGCGAGCATCACATACACGTACAGTTGCCCAGAGTGCCAGGCAGAAGTGATCAGCACGTGCCAAAGCGGACGTGTAGATCAGCGCCGCGCCTGCGGCCATCAGTTTCGTGTCCGCGACGGCGTTGTGGTAAAGAGCTACCAGCATGTGTGCCCTGACTGCGGGATGATTGTGCAGAGCTCGCTTCCGTTTGGGCGGATCACAGTTGCGCACACGAAGCCGAACGGGCGACTGTGCGGGCGCCGGAGATGGCGAGTTCCGGAAGACGCATGAAATACCCGTAGGGAGGAGTAGCGAGGCCCGGCAACGAACTGCTTCGAAGCCCAGTAAGAAGTCCAGCCAAAGCCCCGCAGGAAGCACAAGAGCAGCTAAGGCACAGCCAGGGCGCAGCCAGCCAGGGCGCGCCCCGCTGGACCCAAGCGCAGCGGCACGGCGTGCAAAAAGCGACGGAAAAGGGACCTTTGGCAGCAAGCACAAGAGCAGCTAAGGCACGGCCGGGGCGCAGCCAGCCAAGGCGCCCTCCGCTAGACCCAAGCGCAGTGGCACGGCGTGCAAAAAGGAGGCTTGCAGGGTGCCTAACGGTACCTTCGAAACCCACTAAGAAGACTCGCCAGGGCCTCGCAGCCAAAGCCCTGCAGCAAGCACAAGAGCAGCTAAGGCACGGCCAGGGCGCAGCCAGCCAAGGCGCCCTCCGCTAGACCCAAGCGCATTGGCACGGCGTGCAAAAAGGGACCGAAAAAGAGCCGAAAATTGAGGCTTGGAGGGTGCCTAACGGTACCTTCGAAACCCACTAAGAAGACTCGCCAGGGCCTCGCAGCCAAAGCCCTGCAGCAAGCACAAGAGCAGCTAGCAGCTAAGGCGCAGCCAGGGGGCCCTCCAGCTACAGAGGGCGCCAGCGCAGACCGCAGCGCAGTGGCACGGCGTGCAAAAAGGGACCGAAAAAGAGCCGAAACATTGAGGCTTGCAGGGTGCCTAACGGTACCTTCGAAACCAGACTCGCCAGGGCCTCGCAGCCAGAGCCCTGCAGCAAGCACAAGAGCAGCTAAGGCACGGCCAGGGCGCAGCCAGCCAAGGCGCCCTCCGCTAGACCCAAGCGCAGTGGGCGTGGAAAAAGGGACCGAAAAAGAGCCGAAAATTGAGGCTTGGAGGGTGCCTAACGGTACCTTCGAAACCCACTAAGAAGACTCGCCAGGGCCTCGCAGCCAAAGCCCTGCAGCAAGCTAAGAGCAGCTAAGGCACGGCCAGGGCGCAGCCAGCCAGGGCGCCCTCCGCCAAAGCGCAGTGGCACGGCAAAAAGGGACGAAAAGAGCCGAAAATTGAGGCTTGAGGGTGCCTAACGGTACCTTCGAAACCCACTAAGAAGACTCGCCAGGGCCTCGCAGCCAAAGCCCTGCAGCAAGCACAAGAGCAGCTAAGGCACGGCCAGGGCGCAGCCAGCCAGGGCGCCCCCCCGCTGGACCCAAGCGCAGTGGCACGGCGTGCAAAAAGCGACGGAAAAGGGACCGAACAGGGACGCTCGGAGGGTGCCTAACGGCACCTTCGAAAACCACTAAGAAGCGCAGTGCAGACTAGCCAGAGCCCGGCAGCCACAGCCTCGCAGCAAGCACGAGAACCGCCGAGGCAGGGCCAGGGCGACAGAGAGAGAGCAGCAGCAAACACCATTGCAGCGACCGACCAGCCTGGCAGAAAGCTAGCGCACCTACGGCCATTCGATGGGACCTTCGGTATCCCAGGCGCCGCCCCGCCTGAGCACGCTCCTAGGCGGGGTCGGCGGATATGTCCTGTAATTTAAAGTACTGCTGGTGTACATAGCAAATGATAGTTTGTTCCTAAATTAAAGGCCTTTAGCCTCTGAGCAAAAAAAACAACAACAACAACACAGTGACATTAAAGATAATTGAAGAGGGTCGGGGGCTCCTGTGGGCAACCCCCTGCTTGTGACTGTTTGGCCTTGTTGCTTTTTGGATTGATAGTTTTGGGACCACGTGCAAAGCTGGATTTTCTGGATCTACGGCTTCAATGTGTTGTTTCCAAAGAAATGAAATCACGTTGTTCATACGTTTTGGAATGGGCGAAAACACATGCCACAATAGAGGACCCCAGAAGCAAACTGTCTATGATAGCGGCCCCAATTCAAGAAGAAACGGGCCCAACATGTTTGATCGCGGATCCTAAAGCTAACCCTCGCAACACCACTGGGAACACTTCGACAAAAAAGGGCAGCTATCATCGTCGCATATTTAGCCATACCTTGAAGAGTTTTGGGTTGAAGCAGGAAGGGTCCAATGGTGCAGAGTCTCCCAGAACCTACTTGCAAGCTTGTTTGCCTGTCTGAAACCAAGCTTGCTTTAGACGCCACTTTAAAAGAGCCGCGAAATAGCACAAGCGGGACATATGTGAATTCTCGTGTTGGAGTGAAGGGCAAATCCAAGGCAACACCTAGAAGCTCGGCAACACCTCCAGCTAGAACAAATGTGCCATTCTTTAGCCATCGAACAAAACACACACACTTTTTGTTTTTTTCTCCAAAGAAGACCGAAGGCGGTTGGCCAAACAAAGGTCCTAGACCTCACGAAATAAGAAGATGCAAGGTGTTTGGTCAAGTCTGAGGCGAGAGTCTTTAAGAAGATCCCAAGGTAATTCGCCCTTTAAGAGTCTTTCTGGCATGAGTCCTTTCTGGCATGAGTAATTTCCCCTTAAGATCCCTTTAAGCGTCTTTAAGGAGATCCCCTTTCCGGCACCTGATGTCGCCGAGCTCCCAGGGCAGCCGTGGCCTTGCAGCCGCCAGCCAGCCGGCGCTGGCTGCGCTCGAGGATCGGTGGACGCCGTTTGCTCCGTGCGGTTCGTCAAAGGCGTCGGTGGATGTCACGTTGCTGTTTTTACGTAGGAGGTGTTGCAACAACGGTTGATGTGGGTGAATTCTAACGACCTCACACGACCTCACCCCAAATGGTGGTTTATGTGGGGAATGGCCCCCCAACCACCTTATTTCAGGCTGGTGAAATATTATAGTTCACCCAGATTGATGATGTGGGGGCTTCTTCAAAAACCGGAGTTCCTAGAAGACCTAGAAGATCTAGGGTGTGGATCAGGACCTCAGTTTGCCAGTGCTGAGTTCAGCGCTGGCAGTACTAAATTCAGTGTTGCCAAGACTAAATTGGAGTTTGTCCTATTTTTGTTCCTTTGGGGGCAAACAAATCTATGATTGTGACCCCCAAACAGTCAGTTCTTGAACTAGCTTTTGTCATTGCGCCATATCGCTATGGGATCCTGAGGCAGTTGTTATGTTTGCCCGTGTTTTGTTGTGCTTGTGGCTCCCAAGATCTCCGCCAAGCAGCCCTGTCAAAAGCATGGCACCCAATTCCCAGCCTCTTTGCCAGTGATTCCTTTTCTTGTCACGGCGATCTGCAGGCTGTTCCTTGCCTGGAAGGCGACCGGCAGGGTGCCCAAGCCTGGAGCTACCTGGGAAGGCCTTCACTAGTTCGCTAATTTGGATTGATGCTTCGGAGGTGTTGCGGGGGTGGTTTCCTCTTTATCCTCAACCAACCCTGAGCTAAGAGATGCTGTACATTTGAAGGACACCTTCATTGCGTTATCTCAATACGAGCTCCCCGCAATCAGTTGGAAGCCGCGCACACACACTCATTTTGCGCGCAAGAGGTTTGGCTCACGCCCTCGGCTTTCTTCCTGAAGGTTCCCATCCGAGTCGATTCGCAGAAAACAGCTAGCGCGGGGTTGGCGCTGCGCAACAAACAGGCAAGCTTCCGGGATTCCCAGCAATGTGTGCAAGGTTCAACTAGCTTTAGTTCGGTGTGACAGTTCTGGTTCAATTTGCGCAGGGTCGTTCTACAAGCGATACAAGTACCGAGAGCCGGAATGCTTCGAATCCGAGCTCTTAGATCCAAACGAAGCTCCATGTCTGAGACGATGTCTGGAGACGTCAGCCCGGCGCATTTCTATTGAAACTCATCGGAGGGGTTTCTGAGGCTCAATCTGCTCCATAAGTCAATAGGTTAACTGGAAGGCATCGTTCCGTCGGAAGCGGCAGATGCTTACTAGTGAGTGGTGGGTCACGGGCTGATAAGCAGGCGCAGCCTGGTAGGTCATGGGCTGCTGATACCCCGCTGCCGGCTGGTTGGTCGGGGAAGGGTTGGGCAAGCGTCAGGGCCATTAGAGCTGGAAGACTTCCCTTTGATAGCGAAGTTCATACATTTGCAGGAGTAGGGGCAGCGTGTAGCTAGCAAGCAGTCTTGGATTTGCCTTATGTTGTAGCAGCTCATGATACGGGGCATTGGCCGCGCACAGTGGGTTTGGTTTGGGAGACTGCCTAGCGAATCAGATACAGCTGAATATTCCTTGGCTGAGTTTTGTCTTGATTGGTGATTCACCTTTGCGTTTTGCATTGCTTTGTGCTGGTGTATACAGCCAGTCCTCGTTCAAGCGAAGGTTTTGGCTTTGAGTTGCACAGGGGCTTAGCCACAGCTTCTGCATTGTTGACAATTAGGGCAACCGCGGTTGGTCTCCAAAAAATCATGGTTACAACCTATATGCCTGACGTTGGTTGAACATCCAAGTACGACTGTTTTTCACCGTTCTTCCCTTCGGCTGCCTCCCTGGCTCCGTCATTACCCTTGACATTGGGGAAGCGGCGTCGGCGCCGGCAACTCCAGGCAAGCAGACAGAGGTGCGGGGAAGTGACGGTGAGCCAGGTTTGTGGATTTGCGCCAATTTGGAGATTAGCTGAGTGAAGCTGGTGTGTGACCCTTTTCCATAGGCTGAAGTCAGAAGATGTTCATTGCAGGGGTAACCTTGGGGTGAAAAACCGTTGGCAACGTGAGGCCTGTTGAGCGTCGCCTTTCGGCACGACAAGGTTTGGCCTCAGGAGTCAGAGCCAGCGCCGTTGCCCGCGCCGATGGAGCCACAGGACCAGGCCCGGAAGCGGCGGGGAAAAAGCCGGGTATGTTAATTCACGCTAAAGCCCGTGACTGACCCTTGAGTTTCGTTTGTCATCAAATCAAGGCAGGTCGCCTCAAAGAATTGCGCAGGGTGCCAAAGTCAGGGTCGTCCAATCTCCAGTGAGAGATGGGGACATGTTTGCTCGGGACATTACAGTTTCCAGGGCTCCAGAAAGTATGTCTCCACTGAACATCGCCCCAAACGTCATTCACAAAACAAATTGGCAACCAACATTGCAGTTATACTCAAAAAATGCAACCACCATAGGGGTTCCTTTCACAAGCAAAACACACTACAGGTGATGTGGTTTCAATCCACAATGTTGGGCGAAGTATAGGGATAGTAGCAGGTCCGGGATGTTTTGGTGCCGATCCCCGGACTTTCAGGAGAGCGTCCCGGACTCTGGCGAGGCGTCTCAGGCACGAAAAGGGCGCAGGCTGAATGGACGACTTGTTGTGTGTGTGTGTATTTTTTCATGGTGAAATTGATTTAGTTCAAGCCTTATGGTGCCCCAAATCGCATTGCAAGTGATGTATCCCCTTGTGTGACTCTTTTCTTGGTTCTTTCGGATGGGCGCTGCCTTTTGTTCTTTGTGACTCAGTCAGTCAAAACCAAGCCGTTGCCTTTGGATTTCTACCAGGTCCTAAAGAGACAGATTCCCCAGCTGCAAACATGCTCGTGTGGTTGGGCGGTCCCCTTTGAGTCCGTGAGGCAAAGGTTTGTTCATGCGATTCGAGCTTTTAGGGCCCAACTAACCCCCATGGGAGGCTCAGGTATTGAAAGAAGCAGCTTAGAGAACTCCCCAAGTCTGGGTCTGAGTAACCCTGGATGTTCGTTCAGGATTGCTATTCTTAATCTCTTAGCAACCCTTGAGTCGTTGTTGGGCTGGCTAGCTTTCGTTCACCCGCCTCTCACGTGTTGGTCACGTTGAGTACTCCACAAGATGTCAAGCTTGATTTTATCGGCTTGGGCAAGTGAGATGTAGGTTTCATTGTGTTTCAAGCTCACACGCACATGTTTCCCTTACTGAAAGGCGGCAGGCAGTTGGTTGCACAAAGCTCAAAGTGTCTGGTTTTATTGGGCAAGACAATCTCACAGCACTTTGTCCATGTTGAGGGTGCTGAAGAGGATCCCCTTCGGGACCCCGTGAAGTTTGGTCTTTGGTCTCTTTCCAAAGCCATAGAATATGCAGGATTGGGCAAAGTCTGTTCAGTTTTCAGACTAGTAGTTATGCCTCCTTGCAAGGACATCTACAGGAGGATGTTCAAGCGTCGGTTCAGGCAAGTTAGCCAAGTGGAATTGGAGATCCCGGAGGGTTGCGAACCGGGGACACCTTTACCGTGGGGCAGGAGATGGAGATCGTTGTGCCAGAAGGCACGGATGCAATGTTCTTGAGAGAGGAGGGCAGAGTTTGAGCCAGGAATGTCACTTAAACTTAGTTCCACAGCCTTTGGAGTTTGATCTCTTTTGGGATGTGCTTTCAGTGCTTTTAGTAACTCACGCCTGTGACGTCACGAGATTGCAGAGTGTCCATGGTGTCATACGGGCTTTGACTGAAGCGACCGGGACTAGGCACGACTCTGAGGCTGCTTCCCCGGCTCCGTAATGAGCCTTGACATTGGAGCATCGCCGCCGACGACACCTGGCTCCACGGAGGCGCTTACGCGGGTACGAATGGCATCTTGTGACAAGTGAAGGCAGGAGGGTGAAGCTGGTGGCAGGAGTAGGTGTCAACCACCAGGTTGGACCCTTGTCCAAGCTGCAGGTTTGAAGCATCTTTTGAATGGTGTTCATTGCTAGGGTTAAACCATTTGAGAGCAACTCGCATGGGTCAAGCCCGAAGCTTTGGAGGTTTGGCTGGTTGCGTTGAACCTCAGGCGCAGAAGGTACTTGTACCGACCCTCCAGGACTCTGTGGAATTGCTAGATCAAGCACCAAGTTCGATCCGAAATAGCTGCATCAAAACCGGGACTTCAACAAGCATCATTATCGGCTTTGTTTTCTTTTCTGTCCCTCGGTAGCTTTTGCAACAGTTGAAATAGTCACTCATGGCATAGTCAAGGCAACCTGCTTCGATTTGATTTATGCATCCAGGTCCAGCTGACTTCCGCCCTCTCACTAACATGGCAGTCTTGCACAGGTTCAGCCAGAGCCGACTGCCACCCAGCCAGTGACTGCGGAGCCTGTGTAGCCTTCGAGCCAGAGGCTATCTGCGGGCCGGGGTGTTGCTCAAAACCCTTTGGTAGATGAAGGAGTTAGTCAGGGACTATGACTCACGTTCGAGGCTCACCTCTTTTTCCTTAGCCAAGTTTCTACCCTTGCCAGGCGTGGAGACACCCCTTCAAAGTGACAACCGACTTTTAAGCTTTTATTTTCGCTTTTGGGAATTTACAGTACATCACCCCTTAGACCAATTTGGATTCAGACTCCTTGTTAGCATCAGACACCCTGAGGTGGCCAACATGGGCTGCTTTTCTGCCGGTTCCCGTTTGGGTCACCTCTTCGAGCGGCCAAGGGACTGTCTGAATTTTGCGAAAGTAACTCTTGGTATCAACACAGCGGGATGTTCTCGCTCGTGTGCCATGGACTTACGGTTGAAATTAGAGGCGTTCGGAGCAGTTACTTTGGATACCAAGATCCGTTACACGCTTTCAAGTTCATTTGTGCCCCTGTCACAAGCTGATCTCAGATGGCAAAGCGATCAGGGCCATGAACAGCCTTTGCGCAGTGCGGCATGGTCAGATGCAATGTGGTGTCATGAGCTACAGGCAAGATGCCATCTAAATGATAGCTGCCAACAGCTCCTGACATGTTCGAGGCATGTGTCACCCCACTCTCCGACTGCTGAATCACATGTTTCATCTCCCGGATATGATCGGACCCGCCTGGCAGGTATTCAGCATGGTCACCTTTTTATGCGGTCACCAGGTCACCTCCTGCACTCTACATGCTGCAAGCTTCCGATTGTGCCATGCGTGCATCGTTTACAGAGAGCTTATCGAGCCGAGTCTGGCCGAAGTTATCCCGTTGACACATTCTTGTCGGGTCCCCCATCCAAGCCACACAGTCAAATGCGTCCCAAAATAGCCTCAAGGTCACAGGCCATTGGACATGGCAGGAGCAGATGGTGAAGCTGAAGATTGAGGTCCCGAAGGTCTTCGAGCTGGAACCCCGGCAGATCTGAAAGGGAGAACTTGACAGCAGGTAAAAGGGCCTACAAGCCTCAACATAGTCGACAATTGGAAAGCCTAGCCCTCAGCAAGGTATCATCGAATATTGAATTGTTGGGTCGCGGGGTGCCATAAAACCAAACTGCATTCGATTTAGAGATGTGTGTTGCTGTACGGGAGTACTTGTTGTGTACGCATGGAAACATTTGATTATGTGTAATGTAGTTTTTCCCCAACAGCTAAATGCTTTGGGCGGCCCTAAGGTAAGGTTTCACGAGGGTTTTGCGAGGGTTCCACCAGGGTTCCACGAGGGTTCCACGAGGTTCTGCGAGGGCTGCGGGGTCCGGGGAAGGTTCCACGAGGGTTCCACCAGGGTTCCACAAGAGTTGCTAAGCAAAACCGGCGGCAGTGGATTGGATTGGTTGTTTGGAGCTTCCCGCATCTTGGTCGGGCCCCGATTTTGCTTTCGGGCCCCGATTGGGGCCGGCTGGCACCGTTGGGCCCCGGTCAGGCACCGTCGGCTGTACCTGTGTGCAGGTAAAGCGGCGTCCTAAGCAAAACCGGCGGTGTCTATGATTGGTGGCTTGGATCGGTGGTTTGCTTTACGGGCTGCGGTCGGCGGTCGGGCCCGAGCAGAAAAAGCACCGCGTGCCGTTATATATGTACACGTGTTTCTAGGTATGTTTTTGGTGGCGGCGCCCACAAGCCGCCGGGACTGTTGTCACTTTTCAGACTTGGTTTTGCCACGTCTCTTTGTCACGACAGGCTTGCAGGTGCAGTCATAGGTGTCGATGTTGCCGACATGTCGGCTCCGGCTGGCAGCGTTGAAACGAACACCCAGAGAACAACACACACACACACAATTGCTGAAACCATCACTCGAACAAGCAGCAATCAAGACAGCAAGCAATCAAGCAAGCAATCAAGCAAGCAAGCAGGCAAGCCAAGCTAGCAGCCACAGAACCCACAACTAACTAACACATCACCCAACCAAGCAACCCACAACCAGACAAAGAAGCCAGCACGCAATTGAACAAACACATGAGTGCGCGCGCGCGTGGTGTGTGTGTGTGTGTGTGGGTGTGTGTGTGTGTGTGTGCGCGTTTGTGTGTGGGTGTGGGTGGGTGTGTGTGCGTGTGTGTGCGTGTGTGTGTGTGTGTGTGTGCTGTTTGCACGCAACACTCAGCCGCCGCATGTCTCAACTCTTGCCACGGCAAGTCGAAGCAAATAAAGCCGACATGTGTCACACTTGCGCGCGTGAGAGCGTGTGTGCTAGCGCGGATTTCTGCAAAGTTTGCCCCTTTTAGTTTGTGACTGATAAGCTTCGGTGTGCGTGCATGTGCTAGTGCGGATATCTGCAAAGTTTGCCCTTCTGTGAATGATAAGCTTGGTGTTGCGAGCTCTCTGCAAGGGTTGCTCTGCGCAAGTTTTCGGCCCAAGTCTGCCGCGCAACTTGCTCTGTGTGCGCAAGTGCTCTGTGCAAGTTGCGATACGCAAGCGCTACGCACAAGTGTGCTGCGCAAGCTCATCAAGTTTCCAGGAGCACGTTCTCCGAGCAAGTTCTTGGGCCGGAGCCAGGGGGAAATCGAACCCGCGACCGCGGGGTTGCGAAAGCAGGCGCGCAAACCACGCGACAACTTCCATAGGCCACTTCGTGAGCAAGAAGTTTGCGCGGCGCCACAGCGAGAATCGTAAAAAGCTCCAGTTTTTGCTCATCGACCGCGCCGATCCACGCAGAATTACACTTGCACGAGACATGTCGACACGAAAGTAACGAGATATCACACAGCCAAATATCACACATCCAAACTTGCACGAGACATCCGAATTAGTCTCTCAGTAGTTAGTCTCTTGTTAGTCTCTGATTAGCTAATCTCTCAAGGCGGCGCGGTGGGACCGAACCCACCCTGCGAAAATGACACCCTCTGCGGGGATTGGTGTGGTTGAGGTGCGAAAACTGCGACTTCTTACGACTTGCCCTCTGCGGGGATTGGCGTGGCCAATGTGCAAAAACTGTTTTACCATTTCTGCGGTTCGCGCGCGACCCTCTGCGGGGATTGGCGTGGCCAATGTGCAAAAGCGGACTTTTTACGATTTCTGGCGTCCCGCGCGACACTCTCGTTACTTTCGTGTCGACATGTCTTGTGATATCTCGTGCAAGTTGTTCTCGCGCAAGTTGGCTCGTGCAAGTTGGCTCGTGTAAGTTGGCTCGTGCAACTTGGCTCGTGTAAGTTTGGCTGTGTGATAAGGCTGGCGATTTTACCGGAAGAACCCTTCGCAATGCTTTCGCGAAAAACCCTCCTAGGAGGTCCATTTGAGCCGCAAACTGTCTTCTTACGAAAACGTCAAGCGGGGCCCACCCAAACAACCTGGCAGCCGAGGCACGCGCCGCCGGCTCTCAGGCGGGGTTCCCAGCTAGCTCTGCAAATACGTGCGCGGTTGGCAAGAAGGATATTTTTTTTAAAAAAATATGAGGAAGACAGGAAGACAGGAAGGAAGGGAATCAGGAAGGAAGAAAAACATGAGGAGGGGGGACAAAGACAGAAGAGTAATAAAGACTGAAAGAAAGAAGAGGACTTAGAAAGAAACGTTAAAATCGGATTGTTGTTTACTACAAGTGGAAGTGCTGTAATGTTGTTAACACAAACAAACCTGTAGTCTGCACAGCTCCTATTTTGCAGTGGGCTCTGCATGTAGTAAGGAGCTCAAGGCCTGCGGTCATGTACGAGCTATCATTGACAGGGTCCCTCAGTTAAAGATCTTGTAGTATCTTGTCAACTGAAGTGGAAATGAGTATTGACAGTAGTGATGAAAACGGATGTTGTTCATCCATGCTACTGTAGTGAAAAGAAAAGAGGTGTAGTCCTCAGTAGCTCTCGCTGTTCAGGATTCAGCCCCTGATGTAGTCGGACTGAACGGAGTTCGTGAGGGAGCGCCTGATGCTGTAGTCCAGCATGTAGTTTCATGCGTGGTCGCGCCAGTCGTCCCGTTGGGACTGGCGAAAATCTTGTAGTGCTGGAACCGTGTTGGGCCCGCTCATGCAGTTCAGGATTTCCTGACCTGAGCCCCGTTGTCGCCCTTGCTTGGGTTGACTGGCATTGTGATTCGTGGTTGCCTGAGGGTGCGTACTAGCTGGGAGTGTAGTTCATCTGAACCATGTGTGTTGGTCAACAGGTAGTGGCCGTTGTTCTGTAGTCTTCGTGTACGTCGTGTAGCACGCTCGACCGTGCTGTCGTTGCGGGGCTGCAGAGGTGTAGTAGTTGTTGGGTGTTGATCAGTACACGGTAGTCCCAAATGTAGGCGTTGGACAGGGTGTAGTGCAGGGTGAAGTGTTGTTGTTGGGATCTTCTCAGTGTAGCCTTTTGCGTGCAGGGATTGCTTTTTTGATGACGTTGTCGCCGACCGTAGACGCATCTACTTCGTCCTAGACGTCATGTAGTTTCATTTGATTTGACTCGAGTAGTTGTGCCTCGTCATAGCCTTCATTGTTGAAGCTTATGGGTCGGTCTTCTGAGGTGTCGTCGTTTGTGTAGGAGGTGATGGACCTTCCGTTGGACAGTGTTACTGCTTTAAGCTTTTGTCGTACTGGTTGAGATTCTTTGGTTGCTTGTTCCGCTGTAGTGTCCTTCAAGGTCTTTTGTGCTTTAGTTGGTTGCATTGCTTCTTCCGGACTCCTGCGTTGTAGTGCTTGTTGATGTGGTGCTGCTGGTAGCAGTGGATGTTGCCGTCCGGTCGGTGAAGTAGCCATGGGGGTATCCGGTAGTGGTCGTGAACTTGACGTCAAGGTCGACAGTCGTAGAGGTGACGTAGCGCGTGGTTGTTTCGTTGCGGGTTCCGTGACGATGTTGTCCGTCACGTTCGTCTGTTGTCCAGCGTCTTGTGTAGATCGTTTCTTTTCAGACGATTGGAGTTGCGTGTCTAACAGGGTTGCGAATGACGGGTTGTAGGTGTTCCGTCGCGGCCCCAAGGTGTGCCGGAAACCTTGTTTAGTAACGCAAGATCGTACTTGAAGTCCGGTTGTCAAATCAATTGTGATAATTATAACAGTGGACGAATTCTCAAAATGACAATAATGGAAACAAAGACCGAAATGTTAAAATAGAACAAACGTCAGAGTCAAAATACACAGAAGAATAAAGTTAAAAATGACAATGAAGATAAACATATTGATGATAATTATAATAATCATAGAGGTGAGAGTTTAAGTAACGATAAGGATTCCAGTCATTCACAAGCAAAATTAAGAATGAACGACAGCAATTCAATCATTAAATAGAATAGGTAATATAAGTAATAATATATCAATACCATATATAATTGAAAATAAATATGGTTGGGATAATAAGTCTAAGATTGATACAACATATTGTACATCAAATAATAATGATGCATGGTGTGGTTTTGTTAATAATAATAGTACATATTTACCACCTGCAGCATATTATAGTAATGTTGAGTTTATTGATAATGGCATTTCGTGTCATTTTCGCCAGTCTGATTACCATTTACAGCACCAGTATATATTTTTTTCGTTTATATTGTTATTTGTCTCAATATTTGTACCATCGTTCATTGCAGTCACATCAGTGGTTTGATGATGCTCTGTTTTTGGTCTCTTAGGCATGTTATCATTTTTCAATGCCAATGGTGGCCGCCGCGATCTATGCATTGTGTTGCAGATTGTCGTTGATAAAAAATAGACGCCCTGTTGCGACGTAGTTTTCGCCGGTTTCGGACACATTCATATGCATGTCTGAATTCGTAGCTCCATTAGTTGTGTAGGTGTTATCTTTCTTCTGAATCTGGTTTCTCCAGTCCAGTTGTCACCTTCAAGTCTTCTCTGTAGTTCTTGCTTGGAAAGTTGTTTGGTGTTCTCTTGTAGTTGTTCTTGGCGTTGCCCTTGTCTGTTGATGAGGGTTAGTCGCCACTCACCTAGTTCGTCTTCTGGTATTGGGCGCCCGCTGTTGTGCGGGGTGTAGAGTGCTTTGCTCTGATGGCGAGTTTCCAGTAGTCAGTGTTTCCACTCAAGGATTTGTCATCGTCCTTGGTCTGTGTGCTTTAGTGGTGCATTTGTTCTTGTTGTTGTTTTGCTTTCTCTGTAGGTTGGATCACAGCAATGGATTTTCCATTGTCTGTAGTCCGTAGGTAGAAGAGTGCTGAGTGTCTGGTGAGATGTGCTTGTTGCTGTCGGTGTGTGATGGTGCAGTGTCGTGGGTCGAAGTCGAGTCCATAACCTCTATCAAGTAGTCTTGATGCACTGAGGATAGGCTTGTAGGGAACATACTTGATGCCATAGACAGGGATCTTCTTGCTGTTGGTAAACAGTGTAGAGCTGTGGAACTGATTCTCCACAAGGTCGTAGCGTAGTCCTTTGGGCACATCTGTGTAGATGCTCCTGAGTCGATCAGCAGGTGGTGGTATGACTTGAAGTTGGAGTACATAATGTAGTGTGTGATGTTGTCATCAGTCTTCTTTTGTCTTTGCTTTTGTGTTGCTGCTGCTATGTCGAAGTGCAGTTGTGTTGTGTCCTCTTGTAGGAATTGTTGAAAGCTTTTGCTGTAGTCGTTCCATGATGTTGTGTGTGATGCTTTCTTTCCAAGTAGTGATTTGGGTTTGTGCTTGCACGGTAGTGATTTTGCTTGTCTGACGTGTCCAATTGTGAGGTGTGACTCGTTGATGCCTCCACTGTAGTTTGCTGCATCTTCATAGCTGTTGTCATTCCAATCCCAGTTGTTGTCGTAGTCGTAGTTGTTCCAACTCTCCTCCATGTAGCTCACATCGTGTCCATGTCCTTCTTCGTAGTACGAATCTGAAGTGTCGTTCAGATCCTGAGGTAGTTCCTCATTGCTGTCCCGATCTTGTTCTTGGTCTGGTGGATGTAGTTCTTCTCCTTCTCCTATGTGCCACACAGGCGCACAGCAGTCCTGTGCCCAATGGCCAGGTTTGCCACACTGGTGGCATGTCATGTAGTTGTTGCTTCCTTTTCCTTTTGATTTGCTGTAGTTTCCTTGGCCTTTGTAGCCTTTGCCTGATCCATGGCCTTAGCCCTTTCCTTTGCTCTTGTTGCATCCTCCTTTGTTGTAGCTTCCTCTGTGGCCTTTGTCAACTCCTTTGTAGTATCCTTTGCTTCTGTACTCGCCTTTGCCTTTGTTTCCTTTGTAGTGGCCTTTACCTTTTCCTTTGTAGTTTCTTCCTTTTCTCCAAATGTTGTCAATGTGTATTGGTGCAGGTCCTCCGACTGCTCTGATCTCGTTGTAGTTCGTGATCTGTCCAGCGCTTAGTTGGAGATGTTGTTGGAGTGCTCCGTTGGTCTTGTTGAGTAGTATTGCAATCTTTACTCCATCTGGTAGTGCTGTGCCGCGGTCTTTGTCGTAGCGATTGATGTCGTATTCCCATTGTAGGAACTGCTCTTCAAACTGCGCTTCATTGAATGTAGGTTCCAGTAGTTTGGTAAGGTAGCCAACGCTTCGAGTTCCTACTGGTAGGCTGAACCAGTCGTAGTGTTTCACATCCATTTGTATTGTAGCGGTTTTGCCTTACCACTGTAGCTGCTGCTCCATGACATATGTTGATGAGTGGCAAGGTCTACTGCTTTGCTTGCTTGTGTAGGGTCGCGTATGTGTGCTCTGATGTCAAAGAAAGGAAGGAAGGAAGAAAGAAAGAAGGAAGGAAGGAAGAAAGGAAGAAAGAAAGAAGGAAGGAAGGAAAGACAGAAAGACAGAAAGAAAGAAAGAAAGAAAAGAACAAAAATAAGGAAAGAAAGAAAGAAAGAAATAAATAAAGAAAGAAAGAGAGAGACAGAGAGAGAAAGAAAGAGAGAGAGAGAGAAAGAAAGAAAGAAAGAAAGAAAGAAGAAAGAAAGAAAGAAAGAAAGAAAGAAAGAAAGACAGACAGACAGACAGACAGAAAGAAAGAAAGAAAGAAAGAAAGAAGGAAAGAAAGAAAGAAAGACAGAAAGAAAGAAGGAAGGAAGAAAGACAGAAAGACAGACAGACAGACAGACAGAAAGAAAGAAAGAAAGAAAGAAAGAAGGAAAGAAAGAAAGAAAGACAGAAAGAAAGAAGGAAGGAAGGAAAGACAGAAAGACAGAAAGAAAGAAAGAAAGAAAAGAACAAAAATAAGGAAAGAAAGAAAGAAAGAAAGAAATAAATAAAGAAAGAAAGAGAGAGAGAGAGAGAAAGAAAGAGAGAGAGAGAGAAAGAAAGAAAGAAAGAAAGAAAGAAGGAAGGAAAGAAAGAAAGAAAGAAAGAAAGAAAGAAAGAAAGAAAGAAAGAAAGAAAGAAAGAAAGGAAGAAAGAAAGACAGACAGACAGACAGACAGAACGAAAGAAAGAAAGAAAGAAAGAAAGACAGACAGACAGACAGACAGAAAGAAAGAAAGAAAGAAAGAAAGAAGGAAAGA